CACGCCAGCCGGGCACCACTGGCTTTTTAGATGGTCTCTATTCTAATCTAAAATCTGTCCCTTGTTGAATTCAAAGGCTAAAACCAAAGTATTGTGAGCTTATCTGAGTTTCTTCAGAGTGTCCTGTGAAAATAACTCACAGGAGTCTCATTCGCTTGAAAACAGTAAGAACCCAGAAATAATCTCAGCTCCTTCCGTTCTCCCCTGTCCTGTAATCGAGGTCAAGTGTTCAGGGACCACTTTTCAAAGATGAGTAACATTGACACGAGGGAGCAGACAGGCAGCTTTCATTAGAGGCCTAACTCCTACACTCACGTGGGACAGATGCTGAAGACGTTGTTCAAACAGTGGGAATAAACTTTTTTGGGGGTAAAATATGTTTTTATTGATTATTAGAGAGAGAGAGGAAGAGAGACGGGGAGAGAGAGAGAAAAACATTGATGAGAGAGAAACACCTTTAAATGGCTGCCAACCAGGGACCAAACCCACAACCTGGGAACGTGCCCTGACCAGGAATGGGCCTGGGGACCTTTGGGTACATGGGAGGACGCCCGACCAAGCCACACCAGCCAGGGCGGGACTTCGCCTTCTGTAGTGGGAAGGAAGGTGGAAGGAAGGGAACTGCCCTGGGTCCTCAGCTGCTCCTCTAGCCCTGCCCGGCGCATCTATAAACAGGGTGGCCTGCAGAAGGGGTCATAAGCCAACTTAACAGCCGTATTAAGCACATGTACTTCCCATTAGCCACAGTAACATGCCAAAACATCCATATTTTAATAGGTACTATAAAGAACATTCATAGCAAGTAATTGACAGAGCCCTGGTTAGTATGAATCAATTCTCCATTTTCTTAATTCAATTGGACATATGTAACTGCTAATTGGTAGAAGACAGTCAATGCATCATGAGCTGAAATGAATAAGACTTTTGGGGGTAAGAAAATCAAGTGATTCTAGAAACCATCATCCGCCACACACACACATACACCTAATTCAATCATTTTATTACACCCATAATTAGAGTTGTCCTTTATAATGTAATCAATTATAAGATAATCAGTTCCATCATTTGCACAAATAGCTAATATAAAGACAGCAAGTATGGAAATGATATTAACACCCCAAATTTCCTAAACCTTGTTCTCCGGCCCTGGCCCCTTGGCCAAGCGTCTCATCACCACAACCCTGGAGGAAGCAAGAAAGGCCAAAAAACAAAACCTTTATGGCCACGGCCACGGCTACTGGCCTCACATTTATTTTTTCAGGTTTAAGCGAAGAGGGGAAAACATCTCAGATTTGAGATTTTTCTTCAGAACAGTTTTATTAGTTTGCATATGGTGTGTCTACCCTCGACTTTCCTGTCCTACTTTGACACACAAATCCAGTTATTCATAGTCTTCTTCGCCCCATATTTCATAGATGGTAACATTGTTATGCGGGTCTGCAGGCCTCTCAAAGTTCTGCGCCTTGTAGTCACCGGCAGTTGCCACGGCGACTTTCAGATTCCGCACCTTGGACATGAACTGCACGAGGTCCATCTCGAGCTGGCTTAAGGTGTGCAGTGCGTAGTCTTTGCTGGGGTTAGCACACTGGTTCTTCTTCGGTGCAGCACGAACCGAAGAGCCTCGAGGGCCAGGAGGGGTCTTTTCCTGTCAACAAAGATGTGCGGGGTGAATAACACCGTCGGCTTTGGGGACTTGGACACAGGTCCAGGAGAGGTGGGCTCACCTAACAGAAGAAGGTTCTAGCGTTGCTCTAGTCCAGGGACTGGCAAACTATTGCCCAAGGGCCAATGTGGCCCACCATCTGTTATCGTAAATAAAGTTTTATTGGAACACAGCCCTACTCATTCACACACATACTGTCTAGGGCCATGGTCGGCTAACTACGGCTCTCGAGCCACATGTGGCTCTTTGGCCCCTTGAGTGTGGCTCTTCCTAAGCCTTAGGAGTACCCTAATTAAGTTAATAACAATGTACCTACCTATATAGTTTAAGCTGAAAAAGTTTGGCTCTCAAAAGAAATTCAATCGTTGTACTGTTGATATTTGGCTCTGTTGACTAATGAGTTTGCGGACCACTGGGCTAGGGCTGCTTTCAGACTAAAGTGGCAGAGTTGAGTCACTCACTGCAACGCTGAAAACATCTAGTGTCTGGGCCTCTACAGAGAGGCTTGCCAGCCCCTCTGGTCGGTTTGGACACAGCCCAGGGAGGTGTGGGGGTCCGTCTGGTAGAGAATAAGCTGCCATTTTCTGTCTCTTTCCCCTTCATGGAGATGATTGGCTGCTGCAGGCAGGGGCTATCACCTTTCCACACCTCTATCCCTTTACAAAGTTCTCTGCCTTTACTGGGGATAATGCTATCAACTGCATTCAACTCAGCAACTTGTAAGAAGTCAACCGCTAGGGAAATTAAACCTCGGGCAGCGAATCTGGCTCTGTGAATAATTTCGACCCCAAACACACCAAGTTCTTGAATCTATCCTCATTGAACAAACTCACTGAACAGGCTATAAATATCAAGCCAAGGTTTCCTTCACCCAGTAACCAGAAGCTGGTCTCCAATGTAGTCCCAGCTGTGGTGGGTCTGGGCTCCATCAGAAAGGACTGGCCAGCGTCTCCCAGGACCGCGGTGGTTACTTTGCATTAAAATCCCTTCTACTCTACCGTCCTGCCTGGACCACCCCCATGTCTCGGAGTCGGAGATTTCTGAGGGGGCAGCAACCTGGGATAAAGAATGGAGCCGTCCTTACCTTACTCTTCTCACGGTCTCTTCGAAACTTGAGAATTACATACAGTATAACAATAAAAAAGAACCAGAGCCACTTGCTGACGAGCCAGCCTGGGGCGTGCTCTGGTAGGTTCTGCCTAATTCGGAAGTGCCCTCCGCAAGGCACCTTTCCGGGGGGTGCTTTGACATTCTCCCTCAGAGAAGAAAACATAAAGGCGTAGCCGCAAGATAGGCATATGGGCAGGAACAAGGTCCATTTCAGCGTCCGCATGGTGAGCAGGGGTGGGGGAGGAGGCTGCTCATGGTGGGTCTGTCTGCCCTCGCACCTGGACTGAGTGCTGGGGCTGAGCCGGGTTGATGTCACAGAGGCCCCGGCCAGGAGCAGCTCCGGCCATTGTGATGGCGGCAGGGAGGCCAGTGAGGCCAGGGTCCGGGAGGAGGATGTAGGGAGCTGGAGGCGTTCCCAGCAGGCCGTCAACAAGAGAGGGTGGATGGTGCTTGCCATGTCCTTGCTAGCCTTTCTGACGCCCTGGTGCTGTGTTGGCCGAGGCCTGCCTGCCTTTGTGTTTCGTTTGTTGAGTTCAGATGCCGTGTCAAATGCGGGGCATGTGCCCTGTGGAGCTGAGCCCAGTGAGAAAGACATTAAACCAGAGGCGCCCTGGCCGGGGCCTCAGTGGTTGGAGGTTGTCCCGTAACCAAAGGTTGTGGGTTTAATTCCTGGTCAGGGCACATACCTAGGTTGTGGGTTCGATCCCCAGTCAGGGTGCGTACGGGAGGCAACTGATGGATGTTTCTGTCACACATTGATGTTTCTCTCTCTCTCTCTCAAATCAATAAAAACATATCCTCAGGTGAGGACTAAAAACAAAAATTAAACATTAGGAACCATTGGCTTACATTGTTTCTAAAAATAATTATTTGCAGGATTTAATGTTGGGGTTGGGGGGAGGGTCTTTTTAAAACTTGGATTTCTGGCTCCTTTTGAAAATATGTTAGATCTGAAAACACTGGTCCCAGTAGGAATGCCTTCTAGGTGGTCACGCTCTCTCCAGCCCCCTTCAGTCCCCACCGCCTCACTCACTCCTTTCACCCGGGTGCAGGCCTTGGGCTAATAAGGGTGTAATTTATTAAACGGTGACTGGAGCAGGGAGTGTTGAATAGAGCAGGGTCAGGTGACACAGGTAGGCTTTCCTGAAAAAGGCATTTGGGTCGAGTTTGAAGGCTGATCAGGAGGGAACTGGCACCTGGACAGGGGTGAGGGCCGAGGTGAGCACACAGCCTGAAGGCAGCGAGGCCAATGCCGGGAGTATAGCTGGGGCTCGCTGGCCAGTGAATGACACGAAACAGGAAAGCCGTCAACAGAACACAAGGCTTGTCCCTGTCCCCTGGTCATCTGGCTCACTTATTCCCCAGAAACCAACCTTCTGCTGAGTATGATCAAAGGTCCACTGGGAACTTCAAGCTGTGCTGAGCTCTGGGCAGCGGCAAAGGTTCTGTAAGACGGTCTGGCACCAGAGGGGTCGGCGAGCAGGGCTGTGCCGCTCACGCTCCCCCAGGGGCAGGTGCTGTCTGCAGGGGTGGGCCTTCCTGCAGGCGACACCCGGCAGCGGGGAAGCAGCTGGCCTGGTCTCTATGGCTGCGGCTGGAGGGTGTGCTGTGACCCTCAAGGGCTCATCCTTGCCACCTGTCTGTCCCTAGTCCCTCCTCACAGGGCTCCTGTGGGAGAGGCATCCCTGTGCTCTGGGCCACACCTGCGGAGTATTCTGAGGTGCCCCCAGGGGTGTGTACCCCATGTTATAGCTCTAACATTTGGTGGTCAGGGGGACTGCAGGAAGGGACAAACAGCCTTGATTTAGAGATGACCTCAAACCACAGAAACACTGAGGAAGTTTTGTCCCACGTGAGTTTTGTTACTTGGAAACGTTTATGTATATTTAAAGATAGGAATTGATAATACCATGGAGTTAGTCCTGACGCTCAACTTTCTTATAAAACATGAGTGGGAGACAGAAGAACAGAAATACAGACCGAGGAGAGGAAAGGCAGACTTGCTCTACTTTTGTATCAAATGCCAGGTGCCCAACTTGTTCTATTCTATCTTCAAAGAAGTGATAAACTAAGGACGCCCCTCCCCCAGTACTGGGCCAGGGTCCCGACCTCTCAGTGCTCCTGCAAACACCTGTGGGCAGAGTGCGGCCGCAGCTCCTCCCTTCTATTTAATTTACTGCTGGCAGCAAAACCTCGGATTTTAGTCAAAATGAGCCAAGCACACACCCACGAGGCATCTGGAATCTTTAATGGTTTCGAGCCTGGGAAGTGCAGCCAGCACGGCTTGGGGGCTAGGACGGAGCACTGAGCCGGGAGAGGGTGGCGCGGCCACTGGGTGCGAGTCACCTCCGTGCCTCAGAGGCAGGAGTGGCCACTAGCACCAAGGTCTGGGGGACACCTTGGTGACACGGTGCAGGCCCCCTGCACAGCCAGCGCCCACACGCGGCCTCCAGGAGCCGGACGGAGCCTGCGCGGGGCGCGGCCTGGGCTCAGAAGCAGTAGGACGTGTGGGTGACCCAGTGGGCCGACTCCTCCTTGGAGCGCTTGGCGGAGCTGTGGGTCGTGAAGAGGGACTTGTAAGCCTCGGACTCCTCGCTGTGGGCGATGGACCTCTTCGTGGCGCCGCAGGGAGGCTTCCCGGCTTTCCCAGAAGAGCTCCCATTAGCTGTTGGGAAAAGGAAAAGCCAGACGCTTTACGGCCGGAACTAAAGATCATTCTAAACAGCACGTTCTCGAAGGGAGAAAAGTAAGCCTGCTCCTCCCGGGAATTTCCCTCCTCCTCCCTTTATCCTCCTTTTATCCTCTCAGTCACCGCCTCCTAGAGACAGACGGAGCTACGGCGTTTAAAATCACACTAACTACTCAACTACTGGCCAGTGCCCACACTGACCCCTCCTCACGAGGGCGTGGGATGGCCTGTTTGACGGTTGAATCAGAGGCAGTGGAGGCTGAGTGAGCTCCCCCGCCGGGGGCTACTACATGGAGAGCAGGGGTCACAACCCATAACCACTGTGGCTGCTAACCACTGTTTCTCGGGTAGGAGCCCTGAACTTATAACGCACATGAGGTCAGACATTCTCGTACCTAACCAATCTGTGTTTTCCTTTTTGTGAAATAAATAGTGTTTTGTTTTTTAGTTAAAGGTAGCAGGTTTCAGGAGAAATACGCTGAATTCTGGACTATTTGTTGAATGGCTTTCAGAACTTGGCCGAGAGGCGGGTGGGGGAGGGAGGCTCTGAGCACCGGGTGGGTGCACACACACCCAGCCCCCGCCCCACGCTGAGCCCCGGCCCTCTACCCCGTCTCTGGGATTCCCGGCCCAGGTCGGGCAGCCTCGTGAGCCTGGCACCAAGCGCACGCTCCACAGGTCAAGTGAACATCAGCACTTGTGCCCAGACCTGTCCGTCCCGACAGGCTCCTGCTCTGGGGTCTGGAAGTGTTTCTAGTCCCCGAGAGAGCTCAGCGCACGACCGAGACAGGACTTGGGATGAACCTCGGTTTTTGAGTTCAGGCCAATAAAGCTGTGACGTGACCCCAGGGCCCAGCTTTCTGAGCAGCCGCTGCGGCTCCATGGGACCCACCTGTGCTTCTGGGAACCGGGCCGACTTTCTTCTCCCGGGAGTCAAGGCTGGAGGCCTCAGGCTTTCCCGTGTTCATTCCGGACGGCCCTGCGGACTCTGTAAGAGAAGCAAAGTAAGAGAAGCAGACCACCCAGGGCTCGAAGACCGCCCCTCCGCCTGCTTTGCGAGCAGCACCTACCTTCACTGGCCGCCGGGTGTGAGACAGACTCTGCTGCCTTGGCCTTCTTTGTTTTCTGTAGGGAGAGGAAGTGGAGATGCACCTCATTCCCTCCAGTGCCTCAGCGGCCGCCCGCCACCCGAGAGCCTCACGCCAGGCTGAGCGGTGCACTCAAGGCGGGGCTCATTTGAAGACAACCCCAGGCGCCATTTATTCCACGCGTGTCCCCAGTCATGTACTCTGCCTCACTCAAGAACATCTCTATGGAGAGCTGCTTACGTTCACGTTCCAGAAATCACATTCACAACATTTTGACAGTGTTCAGTGGTAAGTCAACGTGAATGGTGACTGCTGTCCACAAAGGAGCAGCTACCTGAACGATCCCGCCCGCACAAGCACCCAGGGGGCTTCTCCGGGCGCTCACACCGCCTTCCTGTTTGCTCGCTGCTCCACAAGGGCTGAGGCTGTGCTGAAGGACGCTGGGCCGGTCCTCCCACCTCGGGATTACTGCCATTAAGATGCTCAGGCACTAGGATTCTGTCGCTCCTAATTTTTAAAATGCAACGAACCACTCTAAAACCACATGGCTGTGCTAGAACCGACTCAATCACAGGAGAAATAGGACCTTGTTCATTCAGAGAATTTCCTTTAAAAATGCCATTTTCCTAAGTAGCCAAAAGATGGCGCTACAGACACACAGCCTAACCATCCAGAAGGTTCCCCTCACTAGACAACTGGGAAAAGGAACTTTCTCGGGCAGGAGCCCTGAACTTATAATGCACACGTGCATGTGACCTTTAACACTCGTATACAACGTAAAAACCTGAGGACAAGAGCGAGCCCTTCAAAACAGAGAGAGGCAGCTGCTGAGCTCTGAGCCCTCGGCTCACGCAGAGCTCATGTGAAAGGACAGCACTGGGTCGGGAGGAGCTGCCAGCCGCCTCCTGCTGGAGTGTCTGAGGAAGTGTCCGGTGTCCGGTGTCCGGCAGCAGTAACCAGAGCGCCAGTGAGCACCTCTCGGAGAGGGCACGGGCGTCCCGGGAAGCCTGGGACAGACGCGACAACTCACTGAAGTCAAGCGTCTGGCACCACGCGGACATCTCCGGAGCTCGGGTGCCTTCTGGAGCCCCGAGGGCGGGGAAGGCTAGGGGGCAGCTCCAGGTGCTGTTGGAGGGGCTGCACCTGGCGGCCGGGGGTGGGCACAGGCTCCCGGGGGCCCAGGTGTCCAGGCGACTCCTGGACACTCAGATCTTGGCAGCGGGCTTTTCGGATGTGCTGGGGTGATGGCGATTTTCCTTGCTTTCACAAGTTATGAACCCTGGTTCCAGGACCCCCACAGGGCCCCAAATCCAAGGATACTCAAGTCCTTTATACAAAATGGCATTTACATAAAGAGCATTTACGCGTGACCTACATGAGCACAGAGGCTACGGCAGGGTATGCCTACACATCACTTCATTCCTGTGGATCCAGCACAGCGCTCAGCGTGCAGCAAATTTAAGTTTTGCTTTTTGGAACTTTCTGGGATCACCTCCCACCTCCAAATAATTTTGATTCCTGGTTGGTTGAATCCCCTGATGAAAACCCGCCGATACGGAGGGTTGATGGGTCTCTTCTAAAATCAGTGAGAGCAGCAATCGTGATGGCTCAGCCTGTGGTGCTGTCACCCTCCCGACAACGCTGGTCCCTGACAAGCCCTGCTCCCACCCCACCCCACCCCACCCC